CTCTGAACTGTGCCAGCAGATGCATACTGTGAGTCTCTGCTCAGGGACCTGTCCATACACTGATTGGGAGTGTAATCTTCTAGGGAGAGCTTCTCAAGCCTGTAATAGGAAATCATTTGAAGCTGCTTGACTTACTGCCAGCACAGTTCTATCTACCTGCCTTAGAACTATTTTTCTGATACAAGTAGCTTGTTAGCACTAAGAAGAGATGGTTGCCCCCTTTCTACTTAATAATCATGATTAGGTTTGTACCGAAATAATCACTGACTTATCAAGCCTACATGATTGTTGTGTTCTTAAGCAAAAGCAAATAAACACAGTAGTTTCTCCAAACAGTATCTCTCATCAAGAGGCAGTGGGCTTTTTTGTTTGTTTTTTAAAATCTCTGCAAAATATCAGCCTAAAAAATTGCATTTGAATTTTAGACATGTGAAAAATACTGTTCCTTTTTAGTGGTGGAATTTCAGAACACCTGAATGTTCATGTTCAACATCTCTTCAAAAAATAGTAGGATCTCCTTTCCTGGACAAGATCGAACTTGAATACCACATTTTTAGGTTAAAACAGTGGGCTGAAAGTAAAGAATGGAACCAAAGACCTAGGTCAAAAACAGACATAGGTTCTTCTATTGAATTTACCAGTTCTTTGAAAAATAGAGGTGAAAAAAAGATCAGATGTATATCACTGCCTGGGCACAGCCGAGCCTTAAACTCACCCGGGCTAGGTGCCAGTCATGTTCAACATATATGGAAAAGATGCTGAGGTTCTCAGGGCTCAAGATGTTTGTATCCAGGTCTCCCCCTCGAGCTGTGAAAGGGATTTGCCTCTTCCCTGGGGAGTGATGGGTCATTACAACCTCCCACATAAAGCACCAGAGTTTAATGCATGACAGCATATAATTTCTACCAAACAGGGACAGAATGGAAAAAAAGCCAGCAGGGTTTTTAATTCAGGGAAACTAGCTGTTCTGTGGCCTTTACTCCACAGTTTGTAACGGGAAGGAAGCCCTTGATTTCAAAAGGATTAAAAAACCCCAAACATTTTCTGAAATTACTTTGGAGTTTTCCTGAGCAGAAATTTGATCATTCTAGTTACTGCTTTGACATTTTTCAGGTTTAATGTGCTTTACATGGAAATAGGCTTTAGCAACAATTTAACAAATCAGTGCTGACAGTCTTTAATCCTATCATATACTGTCTTTAATCATATCATCTGTTTTCCTCATGTGTCCTGTTGCTGTGTATGTTTTATTTACAAGTTTATTAGATAATAGTGCCACTAAGGAATATTTTGGTTTGATTTCAGCCAACTCACCAAGGGATATTGAAAGTATACGAATTGGCAAGCTGAGGCAAAGAATACTGATAAGATGAAAAAATTTTAAGATAGTTACAACATAGTTTTCTTTTTTAGTAATATCAAACTAAACTTATTAGTGATTGAAAAAAAAATGATTTCTGAAATAATTTAACTCATTGTACGTAGATTATTCTGAGAGAAAGTTATGTGGAACAGAAAACTGAACAGTGATGGGATTACAGTAAGAATGGGGCTTGAAAAGGCTTGATTTTCTGTTTATGGACAAAAAATTCATTAGAGAAATCTTGAAAGACTGCTAAGTACCAAGCAGCTTAAAATTTTGTGAGGAAAACCCTCTTTCATGTGCTTTGGTCTTGGACAATTAACAGTAAGTTTGAGCAGGAATAGCCTGTAACTGAATAAAAATTAGTATTTTCTGTGATTATTCATAAAATTTGTGGGGAATCTTCAAGGAAATATTTCATTACTTTGCTTTTAATTACCCCTCTCCTTTTTGGATACCAGCTATTTTAGAATTGAAAAACCAACCCAACCAAAAACTGTGATGGAAATTTATAAAATAGGTACTATATCTTTACCAAATAAAGTCACTATTTAATTATATAGTTATGGATTTTAATACATCATTATTCCAAAGATAGACAATAAAAGAAGTTTGTCCTGTGAATATGCTGAAAATATTTTAAGAATTGATTATGAAAAATACAGGTACTTTAGTCTTCTGAGTATACACCTTTTATTTGACTTTAACTTCATACTCTGTTAAGCTCTCTTAAGGACTAACTGTTAAAATTGCTTTCCTTATTAGATGTTATTTATCCACTGATAAGGTTAACAATAAAGATAAGTCACTGCAAGGAGAGGGAGACTTGATCTGAAAGTGGAAATGTAGAATGTAGCACTCCAGATTTCCCAACATGCCAGAGGTTTCTAGCTTTTCTCACCAAAGCATTCATTTTTGTGTGATTCACCAGTACTGCCAAAATCCATCTACACAGGCAAAAAAGGAGTGACAAGAGAGGAAAAATGAAAAATGTTTCACTGATGGCAGAAAAGTAAGTAGAGGAAGGAAAAAAATAAGGGACACCATTATCTTCTTCCCAGCCAGAAGGAAGAAGGATGGATGCAAAATGGAGAAGTGGAAGTTCAAGTTAAAATGGAATGGCATTAATGTATTCCCCACTGCCTTGATCTCACTTTGTCATTTTTGTGTCACTGATGTTTCTTAGCTCACTTCAAATCTGTTCTACAAGAAAATATTTATTTAGTCCTTCCAACTGAAGTATAACTGATTTACAGTATTTCTTGTCCCAGGAACTGCCAGAGTAAAACAATGGATTGATGATATTTCTTGGACTTTTACATCTACAATTATTCCCCAAAGTTATATGACCACTGAATCGATGTTGATTCATGAAGAGAATTTCTACTGTATCACAGTGATCAGGACCTAACTTTCTCAAATCTCAACCCAGAGATAACCTGTCTAAGGGGTGACAAAATGGAGGAGTCATGTTTCTGACATTATCAGGGCATCAGGAGGAAATACCAAGTGAAAAAGCTTTAAATTGTACAATTACAAATTTCTTTTTCATTTAAATGCTTCTTGTCATAGGATACAAACAACACTACCAGAGAAATCTCATAAAATGTATAGAAATAGTCTTCTGGAATTGTTGAATATTCCTGGCTGAAGCTTTCTACCCAGATGCAATTTTTCTTTTAATTGTTAAATGAGATCTCAACTAGCCAACATATAAATACATTCAGACATCATCAGTTTGTCCATTGCCATGATCTTGCCGTTTGATTGTACTGGGGAAATCATAGGTATTTCCTCATCATAAGTAAAAAGGATTTATGTAAACTTACCCATCAACCTTTTTTTACTGATTTTTTTTCAAAGGAAGTTTCCAAAAGCTTAATTTTTAAGAGAACAGCTAATTCTTAAAAGCAAACTGGTTTTGAATTTCAAAGGTCTTTCCATCAAAAGGTGCTAGCATGAACTAGTGTTCTACAAGCCCTTTATGAAGGAAGGCCACTTGCTTACAGAAGTTCCATTGTTAATAATGAAATAAGAAAAACATGGTCCAATTTTATAATAATATACATAATATAATTACTAAATAATTAAGTAATTAATTTATGCTCATTTAAATTTACTGTGCCTAAAATTACAGTGTATCTTATGACTTTATATCAAGTGACTGTTACTATTTCTTCCAATTTTAGCTTAAAACTAAAGAGAATGAATGGAAAGAAAACGAAATAAAATTTTAGTGTGTAAAATGTCTATGAAAAAGTTAGTTTATAGAGTCTAGAATTACTTCAGTTAGAGAAGAATACTGTCTTTCAACCAGGTCACCATCTTATTAATAACAATAGATTTCAGAACTGGTAAGAAATTATGCAGATGCATTATGGAAGAAAAATTTTAGGTTTGAAATGGTAGTTAGATTTTCACTTGCAAATCAAAATGTTTCAACAGACACTACCTTGTCAGAGTCCTTGCAGTAGTGAAAAACTCTGGTTGTATTTTCTGGCAGTATTTTTGAATCTCTGATCTCACACCAGTTTGGTTTCAGAGCTGTTGGTAATAGAAGGCATCAGTGGTGGGCTTTTTCTTTGCTCAAACTGTTGATTAAAAAGATTAATGGAGGAATGAGGGGAAGATTAGCCTCCATGTATTAAAAAAGTGAGCACAATCTGAAATCTTAGGGAGATTTGTGATCACACGCACAACAGTTACTAAATAATCTTTAAGCAACATTTTTATCTTCTGTTTCTACCTTCCACTGGTTTCAAGTTGAGATAATCTCAAGTCATTCAGTTCACTGGGACTTGAAAATGTTTAAGAACATACTGAAATCCCCTTCCAGGATTTCTTCTGCATTTGGCAAGAAGAGGATCTTGCCTATTACCTTAACATTTGGTTACCTTGACATTTTTGCTGCAATGTAGTTTAGGTGGAATTACATGTTTAGTACTTTATGGATGCAATACTGAAAAATAAAATACCATTTGTATTTAGTGGCAATGCCTTTATAGGTCTGATATAGTGCTAGGTAAGCCCCTGTTTTGGATGCAGATCAGATAGACTGGTTTAGGTTGATTCCTAAAGAACTAAAATGCATGAATCATCCAATGAAAATAATTATTTCTGCTTACTCTATCTGCACTTCCATTTTAGTTTAGTTCTATACATTGCTGTTCATAACCAGACAGTTCACTGATCTACAACCCTTGGCATTCCCAAGTGGATCAGGCCTCACAGACTTAGAAAAATAAATAAAATAAAATAAAAATTAAAAATCCCACAAAACTCAATGAACAAAAAAACCCCCACCCAAACCCAGATGTTCTTGCTAAGGTTACACATGGGCATTGATGTCCTACTATTTCCTGTGGGATTCCAGTGTTTGTAGGCATATTTGCCTAGTACTTTGACTAGTAGCAATCCAAAATTCAAAGAAAGTGATCAGTGAGTGAGTTCTTAGCAATTACCAATATAAACTCTCACTAGATCCTCAGGTTAATTGCTAAATCCAGTCCCAGGTGCAGGATAAGGATGGCATGACTTTCTGTTTGTCTTCTGTGAAAGTCTGAGTGTCAGTTTGGTAATATCTGTGAACAAACCAAACATCCCCTGAAGACTTTGCACAGAGGCATAAATACTGTCCTTTGTTTCTTTTGGCAGGATAATTGAAGCTATCTGCATAGGCTGGTTCACTGCAGAATGCATTGTGAGGTTCATCGTCTCGAAAAATAAGTGTGAGTTTGTCAGAAGACCTCTCAACATCATTGATTTGCTGGCAATTACTCCTTACTACATCTCTGTTCTAATGACAGTTTTCACTGGGGAAAATTCACAGCTTCAGAGGGCTGGAGTCACCTTGAGGGTCTTAAGAATGATGAGAATCTTTTGGGTGATTAAACTGGCTCGTCATTTCATTGGCCTTCAAACACTTGGTCTGACTCTGAAGCGTTGTTACAGAGAGATGGTGATGCTACTTGTCTTTATCTGTGTTGCTATGGCAATTTTCAGTGCACTTTCACAGCTTCTTGAAAATGGGCTGGACTTGGGAACAAAGAATAAGGATTATGCCAGCATTCCCGCTGCTTGTTGGTGGGTGATCATCTCAATGACCACAGTTGGTTATGGTGACATGTGTCCCATCACTGTACCAGGAAGGATTCTTGGAGGAATTTGTGTGGTTAGTGGCATTGTTTTATTAGCCTTGCCAATCACTTTTATTTATCACAGCTTTGTGCAATGCTACCATGAGCTCAAGTTCCGATCTGCTAGGTACAGTAGAAGTCTCTCTGCTGAATTCTTAAATTGACCCAACTTGCATTCTGTTGTACTTACTTGCTAAGCTTTGTCTTAGAAGAGAATGGTGGAAGGTCCCTTCGCGTGTCCTCCTTGACTGGATGGTCCTGTGGAACAACATTCTCACCAGCCTGGAGAAAGCCCGTCACCATTCAGACAGGAAGGATGTCCATCTGCCTTGAGCACCTTGCAAGGAGAGAGTGATGTTTCAAATTCGAGAGAACAAAATTAACAAAAGAGGATTTAGAATTCCTCAACCAGACCGGTTTGGTGTTCAGTCTGCCTTCCCACAAAAAAAAAAAAGGAGAACAAAAAATGGGTGTAACACTGAGATCTGTCATTCCTGTAATCATATCCTAAACCATTCTAAGCAATGTGTAGCAGAAGTTTTTCAAAGATTCCAGTATCTAAATGCTTCACAGAGACATTGATAGCTTCTTGCCTGAACTGTCTCCACTTTTAACTCAGATAACCAAATGCTATGCTGAAGGAGAATCACTACTACTTTTGTGCTTTGCAACAAAGTAGACCTGGTTCTGTGACTCAGGAAAGATGAAGAATATAGGTCTGTAGGACAAAAAACCCTTGAGGCCTGATTCTGATCTTTGAGGAAGCACACACAAATCTTCTGTAAACCCAGTGAAGTCAGTGGCATTTCTCTGAATTTGAGAGTTCACAAAGAAGTGCGAGAACCTCCAAATGTTGTAAGCAAGGACTTCTTTAGGTCACAATTAATTTCTTCTCTGGAACCAAACTGTAAGTAGAAACAAGTATTGTATTTTACAAAGATCAGCATAAGAAATCAGGGATTGATATAGATTTCCTGTTAGGTTAGTGGGGGAGATCTCCAAATTTTATATACATTCAGCTCAGCTCCATCCACCTGAAGTTACATACTCATAAGCACAGATTTTCCCTCCCTGACCTCCTCCCTGCCCCACGTATCTTAAACATAGATATCATATTGAGAGTTCTCTTAAGATAAATTGTAAGATTCCATCATTTGAAGTGGCCTGGAGCAAGCACTGGAAAACACTTTCTCCCTGTCAGATGAGACTCTTCATCATCTTAAATTCTGCAATTCTTACTAAAGGATATACCTCAATGGAAGTTTTAAAAACAACAATAAAAAGCCCAGAGCATACCAAAGAAAGTAAAATCAGTGTGAGTTGCACTTGGCAAAATGGTGTATTCTCCAATGTTACTAGAAAATGAATCAAGTTAGGCTCTGAAATATTGTTCACTACATTTCTTGTGTAGTACTGCTTAATAGCATTGTTCAATATAATTCTGAAAGGCTGCTACATAGAAAAGTGCAGTTAGATATTAAAACACATTAAGGTACAGCTGTACAAATCTAGGTACCAATAAACATCAACAGGGAGCTTTCATGTTAACATGAAAGTTCAGAGTCATCAGCACAGCTGAAATTTGTGTGCTTGCCTGAAAATACCGCATTTACTCTTACTGTGCTGTAGAGGCATCTTTTATATATGTAATTGTGAAATTTCACTTTAGAAGTGAAATGAGTACCACCTAGAAAATGCATCCCTGGAATTGCTCACTCAAATAAACCTGCCACATTGATTAGTAACCAGTACATTGAAGGCTCTTCCCTGAGACCTGAAAGAGTCATTACCATTTTAAGTGATCTTAGTCTTAAGTAATCTTAAAGAATCTCATTGCAATCACAATTTTTCTGAAGACTTGGAGAGAATTTTTGTAGCCTTCTTACAGACAAGCTTGACTTTCCCTTCAAGACTCCATTGTTAAGTGCTGTTACAGCCATACCTCTGTTTCTTGCCACTGGTGTGTTCAAAGGTTAGCTCTGTAGTTCCCTTACACTACTATATTTATGCCTTTTCTATCAAAATCATGTTGCTCAGAAACCAGCTCCAGCATTCCACAGAGAGGTGAATATGAGATCAGCAAAAATTCCTTTCTTAGGTGAGATTCACAGCTGATGTTAGTTAGGCAAGTTGTGACTTCAGAGACACTTAGATGTTTTACAGCAGTGGAGATGCTGGCTCTGTATTCCTGCATGTGTACCTATATATATCCTGCATATATTATATATTATAGTCAGTTGAAATGTTTGGGGTTTTTTTATTCCTTGCAAAAAATTTTCTCCTTTACAAAATTAAAATTTCAGACTTTAATCCAAAATATAGATGTTGAAGAAAATGACATTTTCGTCTTCTAATGAAAAGTTGTTTTGACAATATCAAAACTATTTCTAAGTAGAAAACTTTTTTCCCCCATTTTGCTCCAATTTATTTTTTTTTTCTTTTTTCTTTATTTTTTTAAGCTAAAATAGGTTAAAGACCCTGCATAAGAACTTAGCCCCACAGATTTTCATGTGCTGTTTTGAATGCTTGGGAAAAATACTGTTTGTCATAAAACTCTGTAAAACTTACTTTGTCTTTTGTCCACTAATTGTATTTAACCAAACCATACTCTGAGATACAGCCCTCCTCCACAAAATGCCCAAACCATCATTATGATGACAATGGCTTCAAATCCATACAAAATGTGAATGTTAAAGTATGTTGCAATCTTGATTTCAAGACGATATAAAATGTGTTTCAGCACCACTTATAAATCTAATCCTTAGATGCCTGCAGAAAGGAAAAACATAAATTAATGCACATAATAACTTATGAATACCAATTTGCACCATGAATCATTTTTGCATAAGCAATTAAGGACAGGAAGTTTTCAATGATCCAGGCTATATATGGTATACAAACAAAATGTTTCATCCTTTATGAAGTGTTTTTCAGATGAAGAATTCTTTCCCAGTGTAAAAACATTAATCTAATGAAAGTAACTGTATAAAGGAATAAGTCTGTGGAGATTATATTAAGTTATACTATGTTTTTTTGAACAGTTTGTGTTCAATTTTTATATGGCAAAAGGTGAACAGAATGACCTAATGTATTTTTTAATTTGAGTTATAATAAAATATTTTCAAACTGCTGTATATAAGCCCACTAAGGAGAGATCCTGCACTGGGTTTTTTGGTGATTGTTTGTTTATGAGGTTTTCTTGGGTTATTTTTTTTCATTCTCTTTTTATTGTTGTATGGTTATCAGTGTGTAGACTTTAGTTTCCTTACAAACCAAGTTGAAATAAAGTAATCTTCATGGTAGCCTTAAACCAGAATTTTATAGGGTAATTAGGATGCCTAACTTACACTAACATATGTAATCTCATTTACAATGGAGCTGTGGTTTTTTTTTTTAGTGAAACTTTACAAAATATGAATTATTTATATAGTAAAAAATAAGCATATTTTCAAACAGTTGAAACTGTTTAATACAATTTTTTGGAGACCATGTTTTATGCAGACATGGGGTGCAGCACTATTTCAAAGTGCAGCATTTCAAAGCCAAAAGCCAAGTGAAGGCAAGCTGGCTTATCTCTTATCATTGCCAGTTTGAACCATATACGATAAAAGACTTCATGGACAGTTTCTCTTGGAAACATTCACATCTGGAACAAATTAGATGAAATACAAATAGAATAAAACTGGAGAAAAATGAAGACAGCTTGTATAGTTGTGATCCAGCATTTTGGTTCATCTAAAATAGAAACCAATGTCAATGAGTTTTGAACTGCCAAGTTTAATCATACATTATATACCAGGTTCAAACCCTAGGATTGATTTATTGGGAACTATATATTGTCTGTAATCCTTCAAGGTACTGCATGTCACTTAAAAGTACTTGATCATTAATGAAGTCCCTGAAATGGAAAGCTCTCCAGGGTATTTTCCTTCTAAAGTTCTATATGAAGCATCATCCCAAATACCACAATGAATGGAAGATTGTACTTTCCCTTGATGTAAGGCTTGAAAACAATATTGTCTTGATGAGTACCCACCAAAAAAAAAATTAGTTTGGTTGACTGATGATATTAAACAGTCTTATCAGCATAGGGATGAGCTATTTAAAAATGTGATATTAATTTGTATTGTACAGTGGCTTATACTGGTGTGCATAACAGCAAGTTTGAGAAAGATTAAAATCCTGGTAACGTAAGATTCCTATCTTGATATCCATGTATTTAAAAGAAAAGACACAGCTTTTTCATATCATGTATGCAATTCATACCTGTAAAAGAATTGATGTTCCTATTCCAAAGTAAAACTGAAGTCCTCATGGATTCAAAACACTTGTCTCATCCCTTTCGGGTAACAACTACTAAAATCTTATCAGATCTGATCACCTTCCAGGAAGTGGACATAGGCACACACCAGCCAGCTGTATTCAGTAGCCAAACCCTGTCAGTTTCCTGGGAACCAGCACAATGAACAGAAGGTCTGCTGTGCCAGAATTTTCTTGCACCTAAGAGGTTCAGGATCACTTAAGCTTCTAGAATTATTATTTCAGATGAGATACTAAGTAGACACTTGCTGGAAAGTTAAATAAGCTATGCATAGCAAAAAAAAAGAAATACAAAAAAATACTGCTTTATAAAAAAGCTTCCACATATTTTAAAAAAAAGGAAACTGGGTCTCATTTTCTGTTATTTGTAAAAGCAAATATGCAGGTCAGGGTATGTGATGATAATTAAACTTGCTGCATAAAACAGATCCCTGTTTAAAATACAGAGACTTAATGTGAAAAGTCTTCCAGCTTTGCTAGAGCTGTAACAGCTTCCAGTATCTGAAAAGTTGCCCCAGCCCACACAGAGGAACAACAAAACTCTGGTTTCATTGTAAAAAAGTGCAACACAAATTAGGGAGTGTGTTTCAGACAACAGACAGGTTAAGCATCAACAAGCTGCACAGTAAGCAACCAAGACTGACAATCTGCTTGACAACAAAAGTTAAGAGCCACAGAAGAAGAAGAATATAAATCTTTGGTCAAATTAATAAAATACGAATGTTTGCAACTACACATTTTAGAGTCATTTATTCTTTACAAATGCAAAGGTTTATAATTTCATAGATCCTTAATTTTATATATTGTCTGATTATCTGTAAAGAAAAATTACTTTCTAATCTGAAAAGATATTAAATGTGGGGGGTTTTATGTGAATACAGAATTAATGAGATAAAATAATGTAATAAAATTTGCTGGTCTTGTTGCCATATTTCATGGACAAGTGGTCAAAACACAAATGTTTATAAAATGTGTTATTTTTAAACAAGCAAATTCTGTGGCTATTCATATTGGTACTGTACCTCTTTTTCTTTGCAAAAACTTTTTCTTTAATGATTTTTGCCTACTGAGAAGTTTGCCATTTAGAGCCCAGGAGTTTGAATCCATATAAAATTTCAATATTTGATCCAGAAATAAGTCTGAAGAAAAAAAAAAAAAAGTTAAACATCTACAGTGTTATTTTTCAGCAACTGAAGATCTATCATAATTATGGACTGTCAAAACAAAATTAAAAGCAGCCATGTGAAACATATATTATTCCTCAGGGATTATTTTTAAAAATGAATCTGGAAAAATTGATTTAATTTGGCTTCAAGTTCATTGAATTTTTTTTTATATTAAAAAAAAACAAGTCAACCCCAAACATTAACATGGTACTCATTCTAGAATGCCAACACAATCAGTAATTTCAGCAGTGCATTATTGTGAATGGATCTGAGATACTCTCTTGGAGCCTCAAATGCAGCCATTTCAAGAGTACTTCCAAAAAAAAAAAAAAAAAAAAAAAAAGTACTTCACAACTAATTTTCTTGGAAAAAAATAAAAAAGTTGAATATTTTAAGAGATCACTGAATTATGAACTATGGTATATGGTTCTGGTATCAATTCTCTGAATTATCATGAGAATGAACAGACTTTTCATTTGGAAATCATGAGCATTTTTAGTTTTGTTATTTATTAGTTTTAACTATTTTACATAAAATCAGACAGAGAAGAAATGGAAGAAATAAAGCAGATGTCCACATAGTCATAGAATTTATTTTTAGAAGCATTTTTCCTAAAAGGACTTCTAAAATATTTGGCAACAGAAGAGGTTTTTTAATGTTTAAACACAGTTACTGTTTTGCAGATCTGCTCAGCACCTGCACCTTTCATCAGTTTGAGATACAAATGGATAGAATCCTATGGAAAAGAAGATTGAAGACTGAAGAGAAGATTGAAGATATAAAAAGAAGACTGTTTCTTTCTGCCTTGGGAATGGTTTTATACATTTGTTTGCAGTAAGAATTTAAAAAAGAAAACACTAAAGAAGATTATTAAAATCTAGGAAATCTAAAACTTAAATATTAGAATTTTTTCCCATGCACTCCAGAAATCCTCCACTTCTGCTTTTATATTTTTTGCACTGCTCTTTCACCAGTATTGTAGTAACTAGGAGCCACAGAAAGGACCAGGTTTCTGTTGTAGTAAGAACTCTACAGATCAAAATTACAGTGCTGCTCCCAAAACATGATTCAAATACCAAATTCAATTACAATTCAATACCAAAACACGAATCAAAGTGCATAAGAATACAATCATACAAGATGCCATTTCTCTGTAGCACAAGTGTAGCTTATCTATTGAGCCTGATATACTGTTAAGTACTAAGTGCTGACATACATTTTTCTCTCCTCAATTTAGAGATCCTCACAGAGAATGCAGCACTTAGAAGACAATGTTTCCTCCATCGCTAAAGGCCTTGTCAGCTGCACTGGCTGTGCCAAGACAGCACAGTGTCTAACCAGGATTTCTGTCATTAGGGTTTAATATTTGAACTTGATGACATTTGATGGGATGTTATGAATTAGTAAAATTGGGGCCATTTATTAGGATAGCATCTTGAATCCTCGATGCTATAAAAGGATTCTATTGTATGCATGCCATTAAAGATTAAAAAACAATCCCAACAATGTATTCACTAAGTATAGTCATGTAGAGGCTAACTGAAAAGAAAGGTATCACTAAAAAAA